ATTTAATCCCAGGTGTATGAAAAAACCTGACAAAAATCAGAGAAAACACTGAAAACCGATAAAAATTAGAATTTCGGCCGCTTTTACCGGTATTTGGCCTAGAAAACTCACACCTGGCCGCTAGGCCACCGGTTCCCACTTTGACTTTTCGATGCCGTTTTTCTCAACGAAGGAATTTTTTTCTGAATTTTTTTATATTTTTATGGGAATCTACATGGTTTTATGCACAAAATAAAGCAATAAAATTTTTCACCGCACACCACCTTTAAAAGCTTATTACCGTAAACTTGTTATATAATAGAAGGGCCATTAACTTTCAAATTTAATCCAATCTTTCTCAGTTCCTGTCAAAAATATTGAAAAGTGGCTCACTAAAAAATTGCTTACCATAATATCAGAAGTGTTATGCCAGTTGACAATTTTTTAATACCTTGCATAGGAATCGAGATAATTGATCTCAAACATGACAATGTGGGGCCCTTCTATCAAGAGCCTCAAGGAAATTTTATTTTAGGTAATTCACAATAAAGACTCCAAAGCTCCAAATATGACATACAAGCTTATGAACATCATCAATTTCCTACAACTTTCACAAGGGATGATCCATTTCATCACATCGCCTGCTCTTATTTTTTCAGGACTTCTGATAAAGTTCGATGTGATTCTGAGAGTGAGAACTCCTTTGATTATTTTAAAATACTATTCTTCATTTCCAGATTCTTGGATGCATTATGAACTCCTGCTGGATTGCAGATCTTCCCGTTATGGCTCTTTTAGCCGTATACCGTATATTTATTTTTCGCAATATTATTGGCTCAAAAGCTTGTCATACTTCTATGAAAATTATATTATCTCTAATATTTTCCTGGATTTTGTTCATCATACTAGCCGGTTGCATAACACAAAATATCAAATTAAGTCCACCGATGTGGGGTTATGATATGGAAGTTCCGTATGCCGCCCTTTTCGATACTCTAGAAATATATCTCAGTTTTTCCTGTCTATCAATCTCGTATATAGCTTATCTTATAATTATTTTTTTGATTTTTGAGGTAAGAGAATTTTCATTGATAAAACATAAACTCAAAATTATAGAAACGAAACATCCATAGCTCGGTAAAATCTAGAAAACATGAAATTTCAATTTTGCTTCAATTCACTTTTGTGACAGCCTATGTATCATTTCTGGTGGTTATTTGGCATCCAGCTCTTTTTTCTGTTCTTTCATTCATTGACAGGACAAATAGAATTAATCAATCAATTGTAACTGGTCTCTGGATACTTCATTGTTACGTAAATCCTGTTTTGATGTTGGTCTTCAATCGATCAATTAGAGAAGACGTTCTGAACTTTAATTTTCGTTGTACCAACAAAGTGCAGCCTGTTGTTAATGTATCAGCTAGTGTCCTCTACTAGCGTTCTCGGTAGCTTGGGAGTTATGGAAAAAAAGTGGAAATCATCTTTTGGATCCGTTGGGATCCGTGGACATGCTTAATTGGCCGTTTATTACCAGAAAAGCAATTCGTAAGAAAAAATAGAATCACAAATATTGCGTTTAAACTTCTGAATAGGCTTTCTAATGGACAATGAGAACTTCAACATCAACAAACCGTCCACTTGTCTAATTCTCCACTCTTTCTTTCCATTTATACTTGTTGATTTTTTTTTCTTGTCTATCAGGCACACTTTTTTCTATGTGATTTATGTCAGACTTTCTTTATATGTCCGCCGCTTTTTCACAGAAATAAGACATTTGTACGGTATTCTACCGTGTTTTCTCTTTTAAAATCCTCTTTCCAAGTCTAAAGGAGAGAAATCTCCCCCGAACACACGTGCAAGAGGTGTGGATTACTGTATCCGCGCGCGAAACTGTGTGCGCGCCAAATGCGTCTCCTCTCTCGGCAAATTCTCATCGTTTTCTTTAGTTTTCGCTGGTGTTCGCTCACGATTGGTGACGACCCGTTAAAGTGTGGCTCACTGGTTTTAAAGGTTTTATAGTGGTTTATTGAGTAAATTCAATAAATAGTGTTTTATAGGAATTCTGTGTTTTAGTGTCTTCTAGTTTTTCAGGTTACAAAGGTCTCTTTGAGTGCATAGAGGTTCTGTGAGTGCACAGCGTTTGTGTGTGTCTCTCACTCTCTCTACATCTCGTTGTTTTCAATAGTGTCTTTTAGCTGTTAGTGTTTCTGGAGGTCTTTCAGTTACATTACTCATTCAATTTTTTCAGGGGTTTTTTAACTACTCTCATAATGGGTGGATTTCTTTCTCATTCAAAGCCCGAAAAAAACCAAGAAGTGCTGAATGCCAGTTGTGGACCAATTCGAGGAAACATCTATAAACATGTTAGTTTGGAAAATATTGAAAACATGGTAAATTACTTTTAGGGAGAGAAAATAATTGATGGTTATCTTGGAATCCCCTACGCAAAACCACCAGTTGGAGATCTTCAGTTCAAAAAGCCAGTAGCTGTGGAAACCTGGAATGAGCCACTGGACTGCCACAAATATGGTCCTGGCTGTCCAACGTCGGGAATTTTTTCCTCCGTGTGTTGTCTCAAATAGGTTTACTTAAACAATGAATTGCAGATGTGTCATGACTGGATGACATTCGATGAGGAAAAATGTTTGAATCTGAATGTTTTTGCTCCGCGGTGGAAATCTAATGAGTTTGTAAGTTTGAGCTTGAAGAGTTTTGTGTAGTCATATGAATTATAGCCGAACGGATTACCTGTATTTGTACACATCCATGGGGGTGCTTTCGAAATGGGATACTCGGGTTACATCAACGACTATTCGCTGAGTGGAACTATTCAACTTCGAGATGTGGTTGTAGTTATTATCAATTACCGTGTCGGTGCGCTGGGATTTTTCACTACTGGAGATGACGTGGCAAAAGGAAATTATGGCCTGTGGGATCAAACGCTTGCACTACAATGGATTCAAGATCATATTGGGTCATTTGGTGGAGACCGTAACAATGTGACAGTATCCGGATGAAGTGCTGGAGCTATTAGTGTAGACATGTTGGCATTGAGTCCCCATTCAAACAGTTTGCCCTTATTGATTTTAACATAAGCTTCAATATTTTTTAGAACTTTATCGGAGATTCTATGCAATGTCTGGAACTGCTTATTGCACGTTTCTTGTTCGTTCCAAAGAAGACGAAGCTCATGCATGCCGGGTGTTTACAATCCACTATGGTTACTCTGGAAATGGTTCTTTTTGTAGTCTTGAAGCTGTTTAAGAATTGTTTTCAGATTCTACAAGTTCACTGAACTGGTATCAATCCCAAGATGTATCCATTTTCAAAAATACAACAGAGATCCAACGAGACTTTTCTAGTCATATCTTCTTTGTCCCTAATTTCGACGGCGATTTCTTCCCCAAACCATTTGATGAGTTGAGAAAAGAAGCTCCAAAACTAGATGCGATGGTTACGATCGGAGAGTATGAAGGGCTTGGAATGAGTTTGTGTCCCCATTTTTAATCGAATTGCAGTTTGAGTTTTCAGTGTTCAGCATCCCTGCTTGTTCCGATCCAAATCATTCTTTGTTAAACTTGAAAGCTTGTATAGCAGATTCTTACATCCCTGAAGTTACAAGAAACCATGAGGAGGTTCAGAAGAAACTTTTTGACTTTTATACGAAGGATATCGACGTTACCGATAAAGCAGTTGTTGCCCGAAAGCTTGTGGAGGTACAAATTTTTGAATGCTACCTTCTCAAACTTTTTTCAGTTCCTCAGTGACTACTTGTTCAACAAAGCCGTTGTCCGTACGGAAAAATCTTGTACTT